GGGCGTGGTCGAGGGAACCTGTTCCCTGACCTCCTCTCACCCTCTTCCTCTTTTTCCCCTCCGCTCTCCATTGCGCAGCACTCGGTACGAGATTACCAGCTATCTTGACTGAACAAGTTTGGTCAATCATAAAGGAATTCTTATAGAAAAAGAGAACTTTTCCTTGCGTAACAAACGCGGGAAAGCCAAAGCGGGCAAAAAGGCCCATCTTGCCTGCTCGGGTAGCCAATCAGAACACAGGATTCGCTTCATCTTAACTTTAATGAATTATTAATACATCTTACAAGGAGTGATTCTTTTCAGACTTGGTACTTTAGCTAGGAAATTTTTTTACCAGTTATAATGGCTTACCTGTCCTTAAATTACAATGCTATTCAACTAGTATGTTTTACTTTTTATTCATTACCTACTTATTTAGTAGCTATTAGTTTCCTTGGCTCTATTGTGTTAACTTGCTTGTTTTTGTTCTACCTGAGAATATTACATGTTCTTACACTGAGCAGGGGCGTAGTAAGCTAATAGACCTGTAGACCCGGGCCTACAAATTATTGGTTTGATCACTTTACCAGGTTTACTACTTGTAATAAATGATGCATTGTTGGGGTGAGCTAAAAAGCTTCAGAGGTCTAAGTGTTGGTGAGATCGGTGTGTACTAGTCATGCATGCAATTTTCAGGATTTGTGTAAATAAATGAGTCAGCCAGGCCTCCAACTAGTTGAACGGCTGGCTGCACCCCTGCTGAGGGTGAATAATTTTTTGATATAAGTAATATCAGAAACCCATAAACCCCTTATGAGTTTCTGGAAATATTTGATTGTCTATCATTTTATATTGTGCAAATTAATGTCCATATGCACATAACAACATTTTAATCAAACAACAATCAAACTCTATTTAGAATTAATAAAATCCAACTAGTGGTCTATTATCAATGCTGCTTTCTGATTGGTTGAGCTCCTACTAGGGTATTTGTTATAGCCTTCTAGTAGCAAAAAGGGCCGGCTTTGAAAACCAAACAGTGGTGGCTGAAGCGCGTTTTGCTAGCTAACGTTGTTTTTTCTAGATATTTTTGACCACTTGGTTGGATTTTACTAAATGGCTCATGGGTTCTGAGTCAATAGCCCATTTGGCCTTTTGGCCTCATTGACTATTGACTCAGAGCCCATTTGGGCTCGAGGAATAATTGTTAACTATAAATTAACTGAAGGTGATAAGTAACACTTAAAATGAAACTGTATAAGCTATTGCAATTAAGTTGTATTAATACTGTAGTGAAATTTTCTAAAATTGCACATATTTACAGTAAAGTTAATACATACAACACAAAGGTATTCTAGAAACTATAACTATTACTATGATTTCAAATAATTTTCCAATGTTTGTTTGGCCTTAAGACCATTACATCACCTCTTGATAACTGCCTACACAACATGGTCTGCTCATGTACAGTGTAGAGGGAAAAAACTTGTTTTGCAGCATGTTACAATATTATTGTACTTTTAACTTTAGTTTGCCTGAAATATTGCAAATGTTTTATGTGTTTGGAGCACTTCCAGACCCAGCTGTGAGAGGGTATTTTGCTTTTGAAAACTGTCGACCTGCATTATCAGTTTAAGCAAGGAAGATGACTCTTTCAAATCTTTAACTTGTTGAAAACCCTGAGGCATTATTTCATTATGACAGTGAATGAGATATTACAGAAAAAAGCACACTGGCTGAATATTTAAACATTATTGCACTCCGTTCACGTAAATTGCAATTGCCACTGCGACAATCATATCTTCAGTTAAAATATTTTGTATTTCTGCAGGTCACATCATCTTCATCTTTCAATCCCTTCATGGGTTAACATGAACTCAACAAATTGGCCTGCTCCCAATGCATGGGTCTTCATCGCTCAACAAGTTGTCAATGTCTAGAAATATAAGACATGTTCCCACAGGATGGGAACATACCTTTAAACACCTTTTTTGCTTTAATTTGCTATATTCTGAATTTTTTTACGTTTATGTTGCTTAGAATACACCTGCCAACCGTCACCCCTTAGCTATGATTCTCACACCTGTAGATCAAAGACTTCAATCTCACATCCACACACTCCTGCATGTAGACCATAAAAATAGTGAAAAATTTGAGGTCTTTGAGCTTTAACTGACTCATTTTAGACATTGGGGGATAGTCATTTTTTTGAGAACTTTGAAACTCTTCAAAAATCTTTCACGAGTCTTTAAAAGGTCCTCTGTGAAAAATCCTATCACTTGGAATTGGATAAAAATCTCAAAACCTTGACTCAAGTCAATAAGTTGGCAGGTATATGATATCAATGCGGTACGTCAATAACTCTTTGGTCATTTCAGGTCCATATGGACCCATGCATATTATCGTTTCTATACCCTTAGTGTTGGAAACCTCTTTTTGAACCATTACCATGTGCTAACTGGCCAAAAAACTTTCCAAAAAGGAAGATTTGGTTAAAATTCCTTTTTCTCTGCTACTAAATGGCCTTCAGCAAAGGGTTAGAAGTGATAAAAGCATGGATTAGTGGGCGCTTTTCATTTAGTCAAAAATTCCGGAATTTCTGGTTCGGTGGTAAATGGAACACGTTTCGTCGGCTCGTCCCACTGGAAAATTCCCAGAAAAAGTGGAAAATCTAAAAAGGTGGGCCCGTTTTCCCGGCTGGAATTTCCGAATGGAATGTCGTGTTCCATTTACGTTTCTCGTAGTTTGTTCCCGTTCCAGGTCCAGGGTCGGGCACACCGCGACGTACCAGGGTTTAAGACCAAATGGAACAACTTTTTACCAATCGGAAATTCCACTTTTGCTCCCACCGAAATTTCCGGGGTTTTTTCCTAAATGGAAAGCGCCCAGTGTCTCTCTCACTTTCAGGACTTAACATTACTAGTTGTAGTGGTTGCGCACAACCAGAACCACAACCTCTTCAAGTCTATCAAGAAACGTGCCAAACATGTTTTTCAAGCGGTATTTTGGTAACTTCGATTTTAATGTGCGGTATTGCGATATCATATGGCCCTGTGGTATGCGGTTTTTCATCCTTTTTGATAATGGTATTCGGTAAGAGAAGATCCTTCACAGTAAAACAGTACCATTTTCTTGTGCTCTCCTGTCTAAATAGGTTGGTACATTGTGCGACACACAACACAGTAAATTGAGTAAGCTATACAGTTAAATAAAAGTTAATATTTTGAAGACTTTATACTTCATAGAAAATGATTAAACAATTTCTGACAGTTAATCTATGATGAAATTGGTAGGGGATCCTATGACTAGGCTTTTCAATCATTGTACTGATCTATTCGAGGTCTTCTCATATTTTCTTGCAATGTCTGAGGTTGACCTCTGGTGCATACATGGCTTGAGGTAAACAAACAAATGAGATGGATACAACTTTAAGTAAGCGTAACCAATCATAAATGCAGTATCAGTATTTCATCTATTTTCGACATGGTATTTCAGTATTTGTCAATTTCTCTTACGGTATTTTGGTTTTGGGTGACTCCCCAAAGCCCCCCTCACTGTTGTCTAGTGAAAGTCCAAAGTTCTTGACCAGGGCTTCTACAGCTAAAAATTTAAATGTTCTGAGACCAACTGACATTCTGTTAATATTCACCTTTTAATTTGTTGTCTTCTTCCTGCTATCAGGAATTCTGTCTTTTCACCGATCACAAGATGTTCATCCTTGGACATCAAACTCTGTATCAATGCACAGTGCTTTCTCTAAGAAATCCATGATGGAAGTTACTGATGGATCACTTAAAAACTCAACAACCAGATGACCTGGTACCACATTGCCATAACCAAACTGACAATGTGTCTCATTTAAGGCATCATACATTTTTAATGACACTGATTTCCAGAACTGATCCCTTGAATCAGATGCACAGTTCATTTGCAATGTAGAACGCTCTTCTTCTAAAATGCTGATCTCCTCCACCGTCAGAATGTCTTTCTTGTGCTTTTGTGCGACTACACCAACCACTTTTAAATCACCGTCAATTCTACGAAGCACTGGGCTACCTGAATTACCAGGATTCACAACACAGTTTAATACTATTAAAGGTTCACGCCCATAACGTTCCACAAAGCCAGAAACATAACCCTTGACAAAGAGTGCACTTCTTCCTGGATGGGTTAATGGATAACCAAAAGAAAAAACTGACAAGCTTGGCCACAGAGCTTCTTTGGACAACACAAATGGACAAATTCCATGTTGCTTTAAATCCAGACCATCGCAATAAAGTAATGCCAAGTCCTTAGATGTATCACAATGAACCACCACACATGGCAATTTGCCGATGGCTTCATTCAGAATACAAATATCTAAGGTTTCGTCATTCATTGCTTCTTCGATGACATGCTTATTGGTTATTACAAAGCCATCAGTAATCATAAACCCAGAACCGTGGTGGATTTCCTCAGGCTCGAAATCTTGTTGGGTTAATTGCTCCAAAACAAGAGCGGCTAGAGTTTTCCCAGCTGCAGTTACTGCTGGGATCATGCAATCGTGCAGTATGAGTGAACGGCAAAAACGAAGATTTGGATGTCTTTGATCGTATCGTTCAACTAGTCCTTCAAACACTCGCATAAAGCGGATACAGGACCTATAAAAGATTTTAAAATCGTAGAGCTGATCTATTCCTTTGATGTCGACAATATGTCTGAACACCGCTGTCAATGAAGACAAATCAAAAGCTTCGCATTTCTCAGCTTTAGCCAACACATTCTGATTCAACATATAATTTATGAACTGCACACATATCAGTGAGGCCAACAAGGTTTTCGAACGTTCGTCTTGTTCGTCTACATCAGGACCACTACTACGGCAGAATCCCTCAACTAGTTCGAGCAAGCCATCACGAAGTTCTCTTAAAGTCCCTAAACACAGCCCACTATATCTGTTGATCGTAACCTTCACGCAAGCATTCTTACACTTCAGATACTCACTGTAAGACAATTCGTTTCCCTCCATGGTTACCTCTTCCGCAAAAATGGTGCAATAGGCAGGTAACCAAGCCTTCAATACGCCTGCCTCCTCCCCAGTCGCTCAATGCAAAGCGTCATGCAAATCTAAAAGAAAGTGGGGAATGGCTGAACATGGGTGACGCGCAAGAAGTCTGTATCTCTCTTTTTTTATCCTTTCCATTTAAGTTAGTCATTATTGGGCTGCCCTTCGGACAAAGCTCAATCGAAAATGGAGGGCGCCTCGTCTGTGCAGGAAAAAGACAAAATAGCGGACGGATCAGGTTTCCCGTCCCCCCTCCGCTGCGTTGTTACTAATCTTCTGATTTTTTGAGGGAAGTCAGGGAAGAGAAATAATACTCTTGTCTGAAGTTGTCTTATGGCCTAATGAATTAAATCCGGATCGTAATCCGCATTCAACGCGAATAATGACTGGTGTTCGGAGTTGCCGCGTCAAAGATTTGCCGGTGATATAATCAATTCAAAAAAAAAATAGTGCAAGAACGAATACAAACTTCAGCTTCAGCTCTCGGGTGTTAGCAAACAATTTCTTCCTTCAAGTCCTTTGAAAGAGGACAAACAGAAACGATTCGAGGACAAGTAGTGTTTTTATTTATTTATTTATTTATTTATTTACATTCTTGCAGAAAGCCAATCAAGCGTAAAGCATGCGTTCATGCAAATATTTTTCGATTTCTGGGGTCAATCTGTATGTCACGGTTGTGAAGACGTTCCATGAACTTGAATAACGCTATCTACTTTATCCAAAATCTGGAAAATACGGGGAAGAAGAGGATTAAATTTTTAATACACAAGAGTTGGAGGACCATAAAAGTAATCGGCAAAAACTATCAGTCTGCACCAAGAGCCATGTCCTGGCTCTGCTTTCCTGTTATGTTATGTCACGGAAGAAAATTGTCACGCAAGGCGGCAGACCAATGTACCCCCATTTATGGATGGGGTTCTTGTTAGGTACCCTGTTCCAGGCTCTGAATATCAGCGCGTGATCAGTTTCCTCACGTTTTATTTTCGTATTCACGCTTTCTCAAATTCGCAGACCCGATTATCTCGGAGCTTGGAAGAGGCCAATAATAGGGAGCTTAAGCAACGACGACGCGGACGGCAACGAGAACGGCAAAAAAGCAATAGGTTTGATTAGCAAAACAACAACTTTGCACGTGCATTCACGCTTTTTTTGTACATTTCTTTGCCGTCATTGCCCGACTACAACGTGAAAGTGCCTGAATTCACGTTTTGTCGAGGACGGGAACACAAGACAACAACTTTCTTTTCTTTTCCTGAACTTTGATACAATCCTTTAAAATTCAACTCCAAAAACATTTGCCAACATTTGCCGAAGTAAACGAGATGGAATAAGCGCGATAAAGTTTGAAGCAGCGCGAATTCACTTTTTAAGTGACGTTTTTGTAGCCGTCGCCGTCCTTGTTGCTTAAGCTCCCTAATATTATTGAGGAAAGCGGGGGCACTGAGTAATGGCTCCCCAATCGCGCTTCACTTAGCTCCAACTCCCTGCTTTTAAAGTTCGCGGTTCCCCACTAAGCCTAGCTTGGGAAAGCCCGTGGACAAAGAGGAAGGTACGGATACCACGGACGGATCCACCTTATTGATGCCTGGTCACAAAATCCCGCACTGAACGGAACCTCACTCAGTTTTACAAAGTGAATTTTGTATTTTCTTTGCATTCTTCCTAAATTTCAAATTTTTAGGCCCAGTGACAGGGGATTTTCATTATTTTCTAATTAGCCCCCGATAGAGGCTCTAGAAACCAAAACATTTGTTTGAATATATGGGCTCCTGATATATGCTTGTTTCCTTTTTGCAAGACACAGCGTTTCATCTGATATCCAGACTATCAGACTACAATTATTTTTCCGTTTTGCAGATTATTCTTAGATATGACGTCATTCTCGTTCAGGAAATTCGTGATATCTCAGGAAAAGCAATTGTGGACTTACTCTCTTTAGTAAACAAGTGAGTGTCAGTGTATACTAATGAGGGTAGGCCTCGTTCTCTGGAAAAAGAAACAGGGTATCTCGACGTAGAGAGTGGAAAGTAGAGAGATACTAGAAAGGGGTGAAAGACTAGACTGCAAAGTGGAGATGGAGAGAAATTGGACAGAAAGATTGGTTCTTCAGTTGTGGTCGCGCGCTATTACGACCACGACCACGACCCCATTAAAGCTGCATAGCTTTTAAAAATCGTTGTGGTAAAATACAGGCTGTCTGTCATTCTGTCTGTCTGCTACTGAATTAGTCGAGCCGTAGACGTTCCTCGAATGTCGGCTAGTTCCAGCCTGGTTCCTAATCGTCATCTGTGATCTGGGATTCTCGGATGTGGGGTAAGCCTGTCAGACGCCCTCGGTTCCAAGCCGCATACTCAGATAACGCGAACTGGCCTGGGACCAGTGCAGTTTAGTGCCAGTTCATTATCAGATATACCAAAATTTCGCGAGGAACGGGAACGAGGTTTTTTTTTCCATTCAAGGGTCGGTCAGAGGGACTAATTCTAGACCTCTCCCATGTTGTTTATTTCCTTTCTCCCGCACCGCTCTCTCCTCCGCAGAGGCTCCCGCTGGGTATCCCCCCCAAAATAGCTGTAATGGAAAAACAGGAGGCCCGCGGGGAACGATGGGAAGAGGTAAAAGACCGGAGCCTTCCCCTTCCCATCATGCCCCCGCGCTCTCTTTTTCTTTCTCCCCAGCCTCGCTACGACACAAAGAGGCCTCTACGGAGGAGAGAGCCGCCTGCACAGCCTTTCTCATCGTGGCCTTTATTCTAGTAAGTTGTGTTTAAGTGGCCTCCGTTGCTGTAGTCGGCCCAGTTCTTCAAAAGACGATCAAGTTTAACCCCGGGTGAAGACAAATTTTAAGCAGTACTCTCGACTGTAAAATGGAGCTGGAGCTTATAAAATACTGTCGAGCGTTTACTCCGAAATCCCGTTATTTTGGCAGAAAACCCTACTATAAATATTGTTAGATACCTTTTCATTCGTGTGGGCACCTAAGTTTAAAATTATGACCTAATCGTGAGTAGCCGGAAATCTTTGACTCGGGACTCCAGGCAAAGAGCTTTTAAGGGCATTGAAAAGGGGCCCGAAATCAAATTTTCAAATCGAAATATAAAGAATAAGAGCGCAGGTCCTGGCTAACTGAACGGCTTCATTTTGTTTCATTAACTGATAGTTTTATTATGTTGGATGCAAAACTATTCAAACCTCTATCTTGCATGTAAACGACAACAGCTTTACGGGCCCATTAATTATCGGGACTTTCAAGAAACGGGCCCCAGACCTCTATCAGACTCTATCCTACTCAATCGTAATACTGTTTGAGGTTTTTTTACGAGATTGTTTTGTTTGATTGCTGTTGTTTTTTTATACATATTACAGAGCATCATCAAGAGGCCAATATGACCTGGAAATAAGCCCTCGGTTAGGAAGAACCTTCAGCAAAGAGCAATACGCGTTTTTGTACAGGTGATAAGTGGATAGTTTCTCTCATAAAGACTATTTTTATAGAGTTATTTTGTGTGCCAAAAATCTCTCAGCAAGCTCTCAGCCCGCAATCAGAAGGTATTACGATGATTTCTAGCGAATAAATAGTACTGGTGATGACGATGTGTCAATTTACTCAGGAACAGTGAAGCCGCACGTTTTACGAAAAAACAAAGAATCTTTAATACTAAGGCAAGACTCTCTTCAGCCTTCCCACTTCCAGTCTCTAGCTATAGGCGGCCCAACCCCACCCCATCGACCCCTCTCCATATTTAAATCAGGTTCCGCCGTCTCTGTTATTGGACTGAGTATTTCAACTTCATATTCAGTTTCTGAGCCATTCAGTACTTCTCCTCAATTAGAAGTATATACCACGCGGAACAATATTTTCAAAAGAATTTGTAGCTGCAAAGGAAGATGCTCAATTTTATATAGGTAATATGCTGGCGAACATATGCAGGCTATTTTAATGGTTTTACGTTTTCAGTGGTGGTCCTTTTTCGCCCACAGGAGAGACGTTTTATCTGTTAAAAAATCTTACGTTTACGATGATGGCCAGGAGAGCGAGACGAACGACACTTTTGAAAGGGAGCCATTCATTGTGCACTTCATGTCGACAATGACAAGTAAGTGATGGTCTCGTTTTATCAATGGTCCCATGAGTGGGATATGTATATACCTGAAAGCTTTCCTGTATATTGGGGTCACAGAATGAAGTGGCAAATAGTATTCGTAGTCTTCATGGAGATGGATGTTCACTGACAAGATTATCGCGAGGCAGACACCTGCTATGTTCGGCACCCTCTCTTTCAGAAAAAATGCTGTAGATGACCCCTCTGTAGGTATATGACCCGGCCAGAAACCAGAAAAATTGAAAGAAAGAAATTGGTCACGGAGTACCTGCAAACTGAGTATTATCTTAGGCTAGGTACAAAACGAAATCAAGGAAGTAATAATCTTTTTCCTAGTTAATTCCAGTACTTTTTCTCATGTCCAACCCAGCTCAACCCATCTACAGCGACAAGTTGCACTCGTTGTTGTAAACCGTTTACACACAATCTCCCAACGTTCCTTTCTATCCGGGGAATATTGTCAATATTGAGGATGACATTGCAAATCTAATTCTCAGTGAAAAAATAATTTTACAGATGTTATTCAGAACTAAACGGGCAGAATTTCATTGCATTGCAGATGTCAGGGATTTTGTCCTTGTTGCCATACACACTTCTCCATCTGAAGCCCCTCAGGAAATCGACGAGCTCGCAAATGTATATGACGACGTCATCAAGAGGCTCAGTATAACAGATGTCATTATTCTTGGGGACTTAAACGCAGCCTGTAGCTACATGAGTGACAACGATTGGCGGACAAATCGCTTGGCTAATGACAAACGATTTCATTGGCTGATCTCTGATTGTGTTGATACTACTCTGGCAGGTGGACATTGTGCTTATGATCGGTGGGTAAAATAGGCCATTTCTGAATTCCAACAACCCTCACTTTTAAAACGAGGCTAATTGTAGACCTTTCTTGTAAAAATGAGTTTTGTTTCATGAGAAGTGCGCGGCGCTTCTGTTCTGGAGTTACCTAGTGTTGACCTCAGTCCTTTTTTCGACTTCTTTCGTTTCTGTGTAGCCTTAAATAGCTTTAAATACCTGTAAAGCGGAGTACTGATAGAGAGAGCGAGAAGGGCGATAAAATATGTGCATCGTCGGCCTCAGGTTTGTCAGTCAGGCCCCAGTTGTTAGCTGGTTGTTCAAACGTTGGATAGCGCTATCTACTGGATACCTTTCGAATAAAACCTCTTCCACCGAGCTTTCGCTCGTTGTCATTTGCTTTTCAGAATTAACATAACAAAAGAAATCCTCGATCCTGAATTTTGATCTAAGGCATACTGGGGTGTAATTAAAGTGTTAGTTCCTATGTGGCTTATATTTCAGATTCGTTGCTGCCGGAGATGGCATCTTGGAATCCATAGTTGAATCAAGTGCGGGGAGTTTTGAATATGATCAAGTTTTGGGCGTCATGGAAACTATGGTTTCGTATATTTATTGTTTGTTGCTTTTTCTTTTCCAGTTTTTGCATGCAGTCGTCCTATTTTATCTATTGCATAAAAAAACTGCACACATCTTTGTTATAGCCCTCCCGGTTACAATCCTATTCAAATTGTAGACAGGAATTTTATTTCGGTTACCAGTACGTCCTCCACGGTCATTGGCCCCATCTTTATGTATCTCTCTTTATATTTTGTGGTTCAATAATTTTATCCCTGGTTTAAATTTTATTTCCTTTTGTTTTAAACTTATTATCAGCCATTACCATACGCTAAAACAAAGGGAAATAAAATTTAAACCAAGGATAAAATTGCACCACAACATATATATCTTGTTCTGTAATAAGTTAAAACTAGACCTTTGAATTTTTTCTTTGACTTCAAATTAAGTACGTGTCGTTATTAGGTTGTTTGAGACATATAAACTTATACGCTTCCCAGGAAATAACACCATCCGGCAAACTTCTTACGAAATTGTATCAGCCCAGGTAACTTGGATTTTACGTTATTTAATTCATTCTACGCAGGCATCCAAGGTTAGTGATCACTATCCAATTGAAATGCAACTTCTTTCGAAGAGTAAGTATGGATCAGCTTTTCTTTTACTCAGTTCAAGAATGTCCAATCAAAATGAAAATCTGTAAAAATTACACTGAAATTATAGAGGATAAAAACCACTTTTAGAAAACTGTGCAGCAACGTTCACGCAATTTACAACAATAGGGCCTATTTACGCATCTCATTGCAATCGCAAGCTTTTTCTCCCTCTGTGTGGATTCGTCCTAGTTGAAAAAAGTGGAGCGCTGAAGCTTGCTTCGAATTCATAAACCCGTCCATATGTAATGAAAATTGATGACGACGATGGTTGTAAGAGCTGATCGGGGGCGAGTCGATGGTCGGGCAGCGGATCCTAATTATGATGGATTGATGACGTTGCAGTGCTAAGTACATTCCATTCGTATGAACGTATTGCGAGATCAACTACTTACTTGAAGAACCGACTGCTACTCGGAGTTATTAATCGAATAATTTAAATGATTGAACTGCCCCTTTTGAAACCCGGCTTGAGCCGACACTTCGTAATGAAATTAATAATCAAAGTTAAAATGTCTAATAAAAGATCCGAGCTGTTCAATTTTTTTTTCTCTTCTGCAATCGCTTTTTTAGGATCGAGATACAAAACTTCTCATCGCCATTTTTCTGTTCTTCTCTTTGCTAGGCATGGCATCAACTTTGAAGAACATAAACAAGGCGGTTGAATACACTTTTAAGATGAAAAATCCTCCCAGCTTGAACAAAAAGACCGTTTATGGAATGAGGAAGACCTTGAAACAACGAAAGTTTGCGGTGAAAACGACCTACTCCAGTACAAGGTCTATCAGCGGCGTGACATTCAGCAAAACCTTTAATAACAAAACAGAAGCTTTAAACGTTCTCTATGAAATTAAAGACAAAACTCAACCTGTAAACATGGTTTCTTTTGAACAGATTCAAATGGCGGAATTTCAGATTGAAGGGCCGTGGGGCAAGGATGAAAAACTGTCAGCTAACAGTTTTGGAGCGGTAAAACTTGTTTGCGAAATTCTACCCTCGGTCAGCTGCTGGGTTGCTTTAACAATCTAACGATGACGTCATGAATTGTCAAAGATTTCATTTAGTTTCTTAGCTTAGCGGTTAATTATCAAAGCCGACTGTGCAATTCCTCTCCAGAGGTGAAAATAAAGATTTCATAAAATTGATGAGGGTCAGTATTGTGTGGTTTGAATACAGGTGACTTTGAAGCGATTATATCCCTCCTGCCCTTACTTTTTATAGGACTTGCATAGCTCTCTAGGGCAACTGATCGAGACTTGATATTTCATTTGCTATAGTACTGCCTCAGTCGTCTCTCATTATTAGTATTTGGCGAAGAAGACTACAACGGGATCGTTAACGAAGGGGATGACGGGAAGGAAGCCTTCCCATCTTCCCCGCGCGCACAACCCAAGTGCTTCCCTAGTAAATAATTAATGAATAGAGACAACTTAGAGACGACTTGGGACGAATCAGGGGAAAAAGGAGGAGAAAATCGGCGTGGGCGAAAAAAAAAAAAACATCGGCGAGCGAACTGCTCGGCTCGCTTCGCTCGCCGATATTTTTCCTATTTGACTGAGTTTTTTGCCTTTTTCCCCACTGCGTAGCCTGGTCCAAAGCCACGCGTGACCATTCAAATGAAACCTTTTCTTCTCTTTGGTAGTAGTTTACATGCTATTTTTGTTTGGTATGTATTTCTAGCTATTGAGTCTATGGGAAAGATTCTGTGGTCCGACAATTCACATAATGTGTATTGGTTTTCAGTATTTTTGGAATTTTCTACATTTTTTTAACTCGGAAGAAGGCACTGGGGCCAATGTACCCAGCTGCCCACGTGATCACATCCTTTGTAAGTTGGTCCGTTGTCCAATCAGCGCCCGGACTTTATTTTGTTGCAGATTTCAAAATAGCCATGTACAATCTTGTAAACATTTAGCTCTGCATAAAGGTAAAAGATTGAGTCATTTTTGATCCCTTCTGCTATGGCGAAAACATACTGAAGCAGAGAAAAATGAATGCAAACATAGAGAGCAGCAGCGATTTATGCAGAGGTCCATTTTCGGCGACCAAGTTGGTGAGTATACAATCTAAGGTCACCTCGATCGTCAATGAAGTCGCATACTAATTATCGACATTTTATTCGATTTAACATTTTCTACATGAAATGCGACATCTTCCATTGACAAAACGAGGAAATTTCTTCTGTCTTATTTCGTTTGCGTGTCCTTTTGTCCCTTAGTGGAATGACATCGTGCAACAGATGAAAAGCAATGTTTCAGTGAAACGAAGAAGATGGCGGATGAAAGTGTTCGAAGATGCGTTTGTAGCTTCTGAAGCATTAGACTGGCTTCATAGCTTCCTTAAGGAAAATCCAAACTTTGGAGCCGATGTGACTCGACAACAAGCCGTGCAACTTTGTAGTAAATTTCTCAAAAATGGAATCATAACGGACGCACGAGGCAAGCAATATAATGGAATGTTCGAAGACAACAACCATCTGTATCGGTTCACGGACAAGGTTCGATATTCGCCTTATAAGGTCAAGCGCCCTCCGAAAAATGAGAGATCTCAGGCGCCGAAGAGCGAGAAAGAAACAACAAGAACTGTAGCGGCACAAAAAAGGACACTGAGTACAATTTATCAAGATGAGCCAACCGAAGATTGGTCAGTTTCTAACACTGTTTCAACGCCATCCAATGGCAGTGGATACAATCTTCGATCTAATCCGCTTACGATCGGCCCTTCTAGAACACCTCTGGTTAATAGATTGAACGTTCAGAGCGCTAAAAGAGGTAATCCCGGAAACTCAGTTAAAAGTACAGGTGGTGTTAAATTAAGAAGGAGGAGCAATCGTCGAGACGACTTACAAGATGTCATAATGAATCCCGCAGCTTTTGTTGCCCACAACCGGCGCTCATTGTCAGATAAGGAAATTAGTGAAGTCTGGTGGAATATTGCCACCATTCGGTGAGTAAGACAGGCCTCTTTCAGATAAAGTTGCACCTCCATGTGCGTCATAAAACCAGTTTCCCAGTAAAACTGGAATCCTGGCATTTCATGTGGTCCCTTACACAAGTTTCTAATGGAATGTTTCTAATCCACGTTGTGCCAAAAAATTCTCCCGGCCGAGACATATAGTGATGCAAAACCTTTGAGATCAACACAAATTCTTGTCCAAAGCCTGGGACGCTTTCCATTCAGCAAAACTTACTTTGTGAAATTTTGGAAATTCCACTTCCACGTGCCCAGTGGAACGGTACATTCTGGCTGCACAAATCTAACCCAAGCCACCAACCACGCATTTGGTTATTGTTCTTGTAAGAAGAGTGCAAAAGAAAGGTACTGGAGACAGCAATTTTCCCAAATGGAAAAGGACATTTCTGCCGGACCAACTGGAATGATTGGGCGCTTCAAAGTGGTCCACCTTCAAAGCTGGTCCCAAATACTCTGGTCGGACCGAACCAAAATGATCCGTTACATTGGGTTTCTGACCAAAATTTCCAGAATTTTGGGCTGAATGGAAAGTGCCCCTGGTTCCCATATACTGGCCACCAATCTGTCACAAAGCCATTGGTGCTGCCTCAATGCATGGTTCCAAAGTTTGGAACATTAAGAGCTATTCCTCCAGTAAGTAAGGGGGGAGGGGGTACTCCCTTGTTAAAGTGGCCTAAACAGGTATGTGATGCTCAACAGGGTATGGTTTTCAGGTTCTCGAGGATATACCATTTCACTATTTAGCAATTTGTCATATTTTACAGCTTAAAGAGACTGATGGATCTAGATGATTCAGTTATTAATTCACTGAAAGATGATGACTATGATACGAGTTGTGTGCATCACAGTTCAATGAAACAAGAGTTTCCAAAAGGTAAAATGCAACCTTGGAATATGGGCCAAGTTGTTCAAAGCCAGGTTAAGATAACCCAGGGTTAGTGCGAGATTTGAATTCAGATTTGAAAGCTTAAAAAGCATTTCTATTTTAATTCTTTTTGTCTACGAGGTGAAGATTGGAAGCCCTAAAAATAACAGAGAAAATTATCCGAGAAAATGCTCTTGAACACAAGAAAGAGAAACCCGGGTTAAATTTAACCCCGGGTTAAGCGTTAATCGGCCTTTGAACAACTGGGCCCTGGATTATGAATTAACATGTCAACACCAGGTACATGCAATTATTACTTTTCAACAATGATTAAAACTGCTTTTCAATGAAACAATTTTTATTCTTATTATTTTTCTATCCAGCTGCTGAAGTCTTTCCTCAGTGGCTAATACCTGCAATGAAATGCCTGATACATTGTAAGTCAAGGAATAAAGTTAATGTTAATGCACAGTGCATTTTACTGTGCTTTTCAAAAACACACAACGTGCAATGTTCAAAAGCCAACTGATGTTTGCATTTTTTGCTGCTGTCAATCATCTTAGCCAACCTCTTAGGAANAAACCCGGGTTAAATTTAACCCCGGGTTAAGCGTTAATCGGCCTTTGAACAACTGGGCCCTGGATTATGAATTAACATGTCAACACCAGGTACATGCAATTATTACTTTTCAACAATGATTAAAACTGCTTTTCAATGAAACAATTTTTATTCTTATTATTTTTCTATCCAGCTGCTGAAGTCTTTCCTCAGTGGCTAATACCTGCAATGAAATGCCTGATACATTGTAAGTCAAGGAATAAAGTTAATGTTAATGCACAGTGCATTTTACTGTGCTTTTCAAAAACACACAACGTGCAATGTTCAAAAGCCAACTGATGTTTGCATTTTTTGCTGCTGTCAATCATCTTAGCCAACCTCTTAGGAAACAGAACTTTACTTTAATGGGTTCAAAAGGTCATAGTTTGTGATTGGTGGATTTTGATCCATTTTGTGTGTTTCTGTGTTTCAAGGTTCATTGCTTGTGATCGTAATAAATGATTGATGGCACGCAAAAAATGCAATATTGTGAAGGCAGCTTTTGAACTTCTTAGTCTGTGTGTTTTAGAAAGGCACAGTAAAAACAACTGGTTATACTATAATTGCTCTGTTTTTCTAACAAAGGAAAGTCTACTATGGAAGTAATGAAATTTTGATGTTTGTCATACCTCCCAGAAATAGCCTAGTATGTAACTCTATAGGGCAACATCACAAAGGGTTGGAGGCCAGCATTTCCCCTGCTTGCTATGAACATGGTCGTGAATACTTTCATAGGAAGCAAAATTAAAATACATGTAGACCCAAAATAACTTTCTAGTGTTTAATTCCCATCAACTAATAATTATACGCAATTATTGCATATACGCGCAAGGATAAACCTTAGTGCCTTTATAATGTGAAATTAGAAGATTTGATATTATGGTATTATTATTGTACATTATCAAACACAAATGCCATTATATGAAAGTCCCACTGAAGGGGTTGCATTGGAATGTTTATCCCACAGGACTTTGTCTGCAGACTCAAATGTTAGTGAAAATAAGGCGTAATATTTATGTTTACTCTGTACCTTAGTGACCTTAGTTATTAACTGTCTCAACATGGAAGGGTTACCTTTGACAGAAATATTGCAACCTTGGAGCAAATGCCAACAGGTCTTTTCCCAATTTTTTTTGTACTGACTAAAGTGCTTTTTTTTTTCATGATACCTTTAAAATTTAGGGCCAAATGGAGATTTTTCAAAGCAAAGCTTTCCCAAGTATGCAGGTTTTGAGCGAGATGTGTTCAAAGCAGTGGTGGAGTATTTTGATGAAGAAGAAAGATGTCCACTGGTTCCAAAGCGAATGCTACTAGTCTTCAAGAAAATAGTTGGTAATAATAATAATAATAATAATAATAATAATAATAATAATAATAATATAAATAGTGATAATAATTATTATTAATAATAATGATAACAAACAGATGGTGTTGTTGGTGTTTACGTCAGACTACAGGCAACATCCAGGGCTGTCTCTAAAAATTTCAAGTTGCTGGGTATATGCAAGTAGGTGGGATACTGAACAGCTAGCAGTGACAGATCCAGGGAAGGGACGCTCACCCCTTATTTTCAGACCAAACTGAGGCCCTAAGGGTTTTGAGACTGCCCCTCCCCCTTATCTCAGGCTCTGGATGACTGCCCCCCCCGTTATCTGAAGGTCTGGATGCGCCAATGGCTAGGGAGTTTTTTTGGCCTCATTTTCCTTTTGTTTGCGGCCCGCTGCTCCTAGTGACAGCCCTGGTCACCCCTGTAATAGATATCAACACAATGCTACTAAACCCACAGTGGTGCCTCCATTCATTATTAAATAATGGGGTAGTTTAAAAAATATTAACAATTTTTATAAAAATCTAATAGTAAGTTATTAATGAAGCTGAATTTATACTGCCTTATTATTTTTCAGATTATCTGTTTAAATGCAAGCTTACAGCCATGCGATCTCTGCAGTACTGCTGTTTAATGATTCCCGTAAAGAACCGAGAATTGCTACAAGTGCTGTTGAAATTTATGGTTCGCCTACTTGACAATCATGCACTTTCATTAAGTGATGATTTACCTACAAAAGAAAAGGTAATTAAAATTGGTGGGAATGTATTGAGCTTCAAGCTTCTATCACAGATATCTTCGTATAATATCACCCATGAACCTTAAAACCAGTTAATTTTCAACAATGCCTACCACCTGACCATCTCCTTCCTTGTACAGCACTCTGGTTCATACGGTCAAGTTTTCTCCGACATTACAAGAAACCCACTCTTTTTCACATCAAGTCTTATGCTTTAAAACGTTCATAGAGAGAAGTAGTGGAAGTGCTTGGAAGTAGTGGGCACAAGAAAAAACGGGCGCGCGAGAAGGAGACACGCGAGGGGAGAGGTAGCTCCCTCACCCCTCGCGTGTTTCCCTCGCGTCGCGGGCAAGAGAGAAAGCGGGTGATGAAGGTTCGCGGAAAATGCGTCCGATTTTGCAAATAATAAAAGAACGTAACTGTCAACTAGGTCAGAAAATCGGTACGGTATAAACCACATTGTCGGCTGTACCTTGTTATCAGACTTCTGTACTTTATGCTGGAAAAATTTCCTGAATACTTCAAGGTAAATATCGCTTGGCAAACTACGACAAATTTTGTAGTGAATTCTTAAAACCAACAGGGAGCTTAAGGGGCAACAACGACGGCGACGGCGACGGCGACGGCTACGAAAACGTCACTTAAAAAGTGAAGTTGCGCTGCTTCAAACTTTATCGCGCATATTCCCTCGCGTTCAATTCGTCTAATGTTGGCAGTTTTTTTCTGGAGTTGAATTCCAAAAGACTGTATCGAAGTGCAGGAAAAGAGAAAGTCCACGTCCTCCACAAAACGTGAAAATAGGCATGATTTAAGTGTAGAGTTCTTGGTTTGCTAATTAAACGCATTGCGTTTTTACCGTTCTCGTTGCTTAAGCTCCCAAGCGAGACTCAACGAGGTTTTTCGTGCTCAAGGAGAGGAAAGGAAGGGGGGCCCCTCTCCCCTTCACGTCTTTTCCTCACGTGCTCTGTAAACACTAACCAAAAAAATAACTAGCACCTGCAAATAAGGACATTTCCTCTTTTCATTAACTGGTATGTGATGTACATTTGCAGAACCCCGAGGGGCTTCAGTTTCAAGTGGAGCAGCGACTCTTATTCCTTAGAAATTGTCGTGATAACAAGGTATGACCACACCCAAACCCCAAATAAACCCTTTCCTCTTTCAAGAAGAAACAAGCTATCCATAGTGGAATATTTGCAAGCACCACAGAGCTGTCAAATGCGCTTATAACCGCGAACTCTTTATAGTTATTGTTTGGGGCAATATTTTGTGTGAAAGTACACATATACGACGACACCCAAACACAAATAAACCCTTTCCTCTGTCCACATGGAAGGATCAAGTAATCCTTGATGGAACATTTCTAAGGACCACTTTTAGTAATTATATGGAACACATAAAGATCTTGAGATTTACGGTCATTTGGCGAACGTCAACGTCTTCGGTTGTTTCGATAGTGTCCTAAGTCAGTTTCCCAACTTCTTTCGCCTGATCAGTGACATTAAGCGTGTGATATTCTAGTTGACAGTACCATCCCAAGCTCTTCCCCCTGTCAAATCCTACTGTGAGAAGGTCACGCCACAAGAGTTCAAAGAGCAGTCATTGATCACATCGCAGCGTTCGTTGAAGGACCTTCTCGACAAAATAATCGTCGACGACAGCATCAGCGTAAGAGAGAGAAAGAGACAACTGAAACAGGTTCGTAAACTCAGACTCGCAATCCCGACGCGATACTGGTCTGGTCATTTCGACACAAAGTCGTCTCAGTGAATCTGCTCAACAATTTCGATCACTGACACTTACAGTATCGATAGCGCGTGAACAAGAAAAACCGATGGCGTGAGTATTCCTCGTTCTATAAACTAACTTCTCGAGACTATACATCGGCTGAATCAACTTGTGTCGAAACGACCGGTAAAGAATGTATCGCATGATGAGATGCAGTGTACCGGAAAGGCGTGGTCATGTCGGGGTTTCGATTCATGTAATTTGCTGTAGTTTTTTTCACAGAAGATCCTGGAAAATGATGTATTTGTTACCCATGTTTATTGAAATCATGTGCGAAGCAAAGTTCCCTCGTTTTTTTGGCTATTTTATTCCTGCAGAAACGCTTAGAGACGTCGAGTAGAAATGAAACTTCCATTACGGGTAAGGAAGAGAAGCAAAAACCCGGAGCCTATCGTATCCTCCTGCAAAAACGGATATTTTTACCACTTAAGATAAAAGCAATAACTTTCACAACAACTTGCAAACTTTGTTCACTGTGTTTTTTCTTTTGACTTTCGCAGTTCGAAAAGACGTATCCTGAAATTTACCGTTCAAGATTGCCTGGGGACAACTTATCTACCTGTTCAACAGCATCACAGAGGTCCGAAAAGCTAAAACAGGTCATGAAACCGCTGGCCATACTCAAGAACTTGCGATGATAGTTGAGAGTCATGTGATACAGACGGCGCTTTTTATTCGCTTGCCTAAATGCAAGTTTTTTCTGTTTTATGAGGGCACGCGCAGTTGAAAGATAAGCTAGTT